TTCAAAAAGTAAAGCTAAAAACAAAAGGCATATAGTATGTACAGGATAAAGCAAATAAATGATTATATGAAGATTGTTAGAAGTCAAGATTTTCATGGAATTTGTTAGTATGAAGTCAAAGGAGTACATTTAAAATCCCAGTAATGGAGCTATAAATAAGTAAACAAACACACAAACAAATAAGGGGGGGGGGGAAGACACAACAATCACAACAATTCCTTGAACTTGTTAAGACAAGTGAACAGATGTCGGAGGGGTTGGGGAGAAAAAAGGGGGGAAGAGGAACAGGTAAAAGGTCACGAAAATCAACTACAATGTATATTAAGAAGTTAGAGGGCCGGCCCGGTGGTGCACTGGATGAGTGCGCCGCTTGGGAGGCGCGGCGGCGCTCCCGCCTGAGGGTTCGGATCCCACATACAGACCGGTTCCCACTCACTGGCTGAGCAAGGCGCGGGAGCAACACCGAGGGTTGCGATCCCGTTGCCGGTCCCCGGTCCGGTACGGGGGCAACACTGAGGGTTGCGATCTGTTGCCGGACACGGAAAAAGACAAAAAAAAAAAAGAAAAGAAGTTAGAATTAAAAAAATAAATAAAAGGTACATGAATATTAAAAAAAAAAAAAAGAAAAATCCCAGTAATGTTTAATTGGGTTTGGAAATAACAGTATGAATTCATTTTTCCCTAAAAGTATGTACAGGAATTTCTTGCTTAAGATAATCTATTTCCAAAAATACATTGCATACATATTTTTATTTTTTAATAGGAAAAAAAGTTGTAGGTAAGCCCCAAACATAGCTGATTTTCTACAAAATAACTTATACACAATAATGCCTTAGAAAAATAAACTATCTTAATAGAATTTAAAATGCTTAATCATTGTTTCCTGATCATCTAACAATTATTACTGTTATTAACACAGTATGTAGTTACATGGGCTGTGTGCATGCTATGAAACTGTTAGTTTATGATACAGCATAGCAAATAACACATTGCAATCAAAAAGCTTAGAAATCAAAATTAAATTCAAGAAAATACTCCATAATAAATTGTTTTTCACCAAGCTAAAGGGGACATGACCCTTGAAGAAAGTCAAGCAGGGAGGAGGGGATAAGGGTTAAGCAGTCATTGCCATTTGCAGAAGGTGATTGTGCAGATGAAGGACACAAGGACAGTTTTAGACAAACTTTCATATTGAGAGGAATGAACAGAGATTCTCTTGTCTTGGAGCGGCTGTAGAGACTGCTAGACAGGAAGGCCGTGATAAATCCTTAGAGGTGGGGTTCACCTGAAGGAAGAAATGGTTACAAAATGTAGATTTGATTATTCTTCTGTTCAAAAATTCCTTCATATGGTTCTGTAAGAGATATCAAGCTATTTCTAAGAAAAATGTATCACCACATTAGTGTAACTCTGAAATTTTTCATAGTAACACCCAAAGCACATGACCTGTTTACAGACAGTGCACTGTTTAAGATGTCTACAAGTGATTCTTTTGTTCTACCAATTTGGAATGTAACTCAACACTCTTCCACCATATAATGTTGTTTACAATATTGTATTGAGTGTGAAAGATATAACTATTTTCATTTGATGTCTATACCAACATTAGCTGAAAAATGAGGTAATGATAGGTTCATATATATATTCTTATTAAAAGCCAAGAATCCTTCTATGGGTAACCATTAGCTAGGGGAACATACCATGGGATATACCTGCATTTTCTAACTCTACCCTGTGAAAAATTTCTAGAAGTAATATGATCTGACAGCATTGAACGTACCTAATCCCAAATGATAGCCTCTAGATGCCATTTTTCCAATAAAGAGAGTTAGGGCTCCTTGAAGGAATTGCAGGTATGAAGGAGAAAATGAGCAAGATGAGCTTGTGACATCTATTCATCCCAGAGAGCAGAGAAGCTGTCAAACTAAAGGGCTTATGTCATGCAGGCACCAACACAAAGGAGTCCCAATTAGTCAACAGTGATGGACAATTGGAGCATCAAAGTAATAGTTGGTGTACTTGATGGAAGCCCATACGTTCATAATTTTTATTAAAATAAGGAAGATAGATGGACAGAAGGAAGAAAGGAGGGAGGGAAGAGAGGAGAGAAAGAGAAAGGAGGGAAAGAAGAAGGAAGGGAAGGAAGGAAAGGAAGGGTCAGAACAACATAACAAAACATGCTCTTTGATACCTTTTTGGTGGAATGCAGGCTTCACAGCTATGGGGATCTATGCTTCAGAAATAAGTCAGTAAAAATATATGTATATGAATGTTTCCTGCAGCATTGTTTGAAAAAGATTGGAAGCAACTTAGTTACCATAAGAGAATAATAAATAATGGTACATCCTTTTTTATGGAATATTATGTAGCCACTAAAAATAATGGAGCAGAATTTTATGAAATGACATATAAACATGCTCATGATGTATTATTTAGTGGAAAAGGAAATTTCAGGGTAATGTAAGAGGTTTTATCTGTTTTTCCACAAACAAAAAACAAATAGATGTGATTATACAAATAGATGGATTTACCTTAAAACAATAAAGTCTAGAGTCATATAAGACCAAACCACTAACAGTGGTCACCTCTGGGACTAAGATTTAACAGCAGGTGTGGGTGGGGTTGGTCTGGGAAGGAACCTTCCCATTTCATTTCATATATTCTTATATTTTTTAAGCTTTTTTTTTTAACCATCATGTATTTATTTGTAATACATAACGTAAGGAAAGAGATGATTGCTTCTGTGTACCAGTTTTACTATTGCTTAACTCCATCTATCTCTTCCAAAGGTGTCAGGCGGCAAACAAGACTTGCCCCACAAATTACATGTGGAATAATCACATCTGCAGATGCCTGGCTCGGCAAGATTTTATTTTTTCCTCAAATGCTGGAGATGGTAAGCAGAATGCTGTTTTAAAGACTAAATGCCAAGGGTCTATATTTTGATTCACACATATTTTATTACTTTATTTTGGGGGATGGCTGGCTGGTGTGGGGATCCAAACCTGTATCCTTGGTGTTATAAGACTTAGCTCTAACCAACTGAGCTAACTGGTTAGCCCTCTGACATATTTTAATGTTAAAACCATATGTACTATATTCTGATCATCATTTTTTGAAATAAGTGACTACAAAATAGGACATTTTTCTACTCCATATTCGTATTACTTTGAACTTCTTTGTAAAGGAACATACCCATGTTTGTACAGAGCCATTTAATGAAAAACATAAAAAGGAAGATGCTTTTAAATATTTTTCATTATTTCATGCCATGTCTAGAACCAAGTAAGGTATAGTAAAAATGTTCTGACTGTGTTTGTCTAGACTCAACAGATGGATTTTATGATGTCTGTGGACCCAACAAGGAGCTGGATGAAGAGACCTGTCAATGTGTCTGCAAAGGGGGGCTTCGGCCTTCCAGCTGTGGACCCCACAAAGAACTAGACAGAAACTCATGCCAATGTGTCTGTAAAAACAAACTTTTCCCCAACTCATGTGGGGCCAACAGAGAATTTGATGAAAACACATGCCAGTGTGTATGTAAAAGAACCTGCCCAAGAAATCAACCCCTAAATCCTGGAAAATGTACCTGTGAATGTACAGAAAGTCCACAGAAATGCCTCTTAATAGGAAAGAAATTCCAACATCAAACATGCAGGTAAGAGATTTACATAAATAGGAAGGAAATTTGCATAAATTCCATAAATTTACATACATTTCTCTTACTGGAAATACAGTGTTCTAAACCAAAAGCAGTTTCTTCACCAAGATAGCAATTGCTTGTTAGAATGAGGCCAATAAGTTCTGGAAAACAAATTCTGATATTTTTTAACAAATGCTAAACTTTTCGTGAGATTGGGTGTGCTCTCAAAAAAGCAAGACAGGATACTCTGGTTTCTCTTCAGATTACGTGAATCTTTTGCCTTTTACCAAAAAAAGCAAGACAGGAGCCTTGGGGACCCAAACCAGGTCCAAGCTCAAAATACACTCTAAATCTTTGTCCTAGAGGCTAGGGTAGTGGTGTTCAGTACGAGTTAGAGGACCTGTGGAGCATTTTCAAAATATGCCCAGGCAATCCACACTTGCCCCCACCAAAAATTATGATACCTTCAGAGGTAATTTAGGACAACCGTTCTAAGTACAGACAATTGTTATGCAAAACTTACAAAGGATAGGATAGTATCATCTGCCGTAATATTATATCCAAAAATGAAAATATTTAAATTAAGTTTTTAATGGAATTAGAAAAATAAACTAATACGTTGTGAAAGGTCACGGAAGACTCATTTCTTAAACTTTGGTTTTGCTCTCTCTTCACCAAGGGAAAAAAAATGATGTTACTGGACTCAAGCACTTCCAGTGTTAATCCTTGAACTTTTCCTCTTTAATCTCGGAGAACAGGATGATCTACTGTGTAAGCCAGATCTGAGCTTTTGTCATTTTCTCCCACATTCTTCAATACTGCTCTACCAGTCATGCCTTTTCTCTTCCATAGTTTTGACATCTTCGACTCTATTTTCCTTTCCCCTCAGTTTATAAAAGTTGCCAATTTTCTTTTACTTTGTTATCATCTTACCGTGATGCTGAGCATACTTTAGCAACCAGGCTCTATTCTCTTCAGAGTTGCTCAAAAACGACATTTGTCATTCGCTTTCACGCTTCTTTTATCTCCTATTTATTCAACCAACTATACTCTGGTTTATGCCCTCGAATTCTGTGTTCAAGTTCTGTTTAAGGGGTCAGTAGCCTCGTAATTGCCAGATCCAGTGGGTAATTTTGACTTTATGTAACCTGTCCTTTCTGTGGCCTTTTTCTTTAAACTCGCCTCTTCTTTTTCTGATGTGACATTATACTCTTCCAGTTGTCCATTTAATTTTCAGACCATTTGTTTTTAATCAGTTTCCCTGGATTCTCTTCTATCCACTTTTTAAATATGGGTAGATAATGCCCTTTTCAAAAGATGATTATTCACATAACTTAAAACTTATATTTCATTTATTTACAGTTTAGTATCTTCATTAATGCTCATCATTACTTTTTTCCTTACTAGCGTCCATCTTTTTTGATTCTCAAGAGTGTTATACTTTTAATTTATATTTCTGATGATCTGTCTACACTAACATCTTAGCTACTTGCATAAATAGCTTTCAATAATTCTAGGTATCTAATTATATTTTTTCTTCCCTTATTGCAAAGTATCTTATAAGAATAATTTTACTTCCTGCTTAGATTTTTTTTTTTTTTTTTGGTGGCTGGCTGGTACAAGGATACAAACCTTGACACTGGTTCTATCAGCCCCATGCTCTAACCAAGTGAGCTAGCCAGCCAGCCTCCTTAGAATATTTTGAGCAATAACTATATTTCAATTTTACTTACATACTCTTTACTTGCATACTCCTACTCTAATTACCAAAAGGATATTTCAGAAACACACTTCTATATTCAGGAGGATATAATATTAAGTCTTATTAAACCTGATTAAACCATCTTTTATACTGAATCCTTTTGAATGAGTCTAGTGTGTATTGAAAAACCTGAAATTTTTATGTCTACATGCAGACTAACCAGCCATCATATTTTTCTACAGAATTCTTATATTAACTTAGTAGAAAAGATTCCCAGCATTGCATTTCTCCTAATGGTATACATTTTTTTTCATAAAGGCTTTCCATTTACTACAACTCTTCCTGTGTTTATTTTTCTAAGTGTATAATTCCAGGTTTTGTGGTATAAATTGGAGCAAAAAAGAAAATTCAATATTTTGAATATATGTATATGCTCATTTTCTCTTAATATTTATTCCAAAATTGTGGTAGGTAGAGCATGTGTTCTTTGGTCCACTGCCTTAATTACCTGCTTTCATTGATCATTGAGAATTACATCCCTTTTTAGTAAAAGAATACCAATGGTCTTATAACTATGAATTTGCATTTAAGAAGTTTTAAAAAAAATTTAACTAGATATGTTTCCTTTTCTAGAGCAAAAGAAATAAAATTTCAAACTAAATGTGTAGGGCTTTTTGTAGCATACTTTTGATTTCCACTTTAGGTCATCTTGGATTTTTTCCTGTGCACCCATTTCCACATGTTAGGCATACTCTTATTCAGGAAAGTTCTGCCAAGGTAGTTCCAAATCATTGGAGCAACAGGGCTGCCAATAGATTGACTGATTGGTAATTTGTCCTTTCACCATTACTAGAAATTGCATGTCTGTGGGAGACAGGGACCCCCACTGGTGAATCCTGTCCCTCTCCCGCCCTTGCCCAAGACTTCATCTGTTTCACATGGAGCCCAGGTGGAGGAGGAAGAGTCAGCTACCATCATGCAGCCAGCTGCTGAGTAGAACATAAGAGTGAGGGTGGGGCTGCTCACTGAGGACCGCAGTCCTGCCAAGATGGCTGGGTTTAATCGCCTGGAAGTCTGGGTGCCATACAAGTCTCAGACTCCTGTGAATTCTGCCGTGCTTATGTGATCACAGGAAATCAGCAGACCTTAAATATTCACTTTCAAAATTTCTGTTTTATGTTACTTTCATCCACGAAGCAGAGAGCACTTCAAAAGAACCAATGCTTACCAAATCCTATCCTTCCATTTGTTATATCAGCAAGACTTTTTTTTTTAAAGGCTTTTCCATTCCTCTTAAGTTTTGTAATTCTAAGCATGAACTTTAAACATTTATAAACCTATAAACGATTTGATGATAAAATTAGTAATTTTGTTCTAGTCTGAACTTTAGAAAAACACAAAAGTATACCAGTAGCATAATGATTTCATGGCCTTGGTCTTTAACAAAAATGTTTTCCTCTTTGTTTTCCTAGTTGTTACCGACGACCATGTACAAACCGACTGAAGCCTTGTGAGCAGGGACTTTCATTTAGTGAAGAAGTATGTCGCTGTGTCCCTTCATACTGGAAAAGACCACATATGAACTAAGACTGTACTATTTTGCAGTTCATCATATTTTTGTCATGGAAAACTGTGTTGCCACATCAGAACTGTTTATGGACAGAGAGACTCTGTGGGACTATAATAAAGACAGAAGTCTGTGTTTCCTGAACCATGTGGACAACTTCACAGAAATGGCCTGGAGCTCATCTGCAAAAGGCCCCTTATAAAGACTGGTTTTCTGCTAATGACCAAACAGCCGAGGTTTTTCTCTTGTGATTTTTTTAAAAAAAAATAATGACTATATAATTTATTTCCACTAAAAATATTGTTTCTGCATTCATTTTTATAGCAATAACAACTGGTAAAGCTCACTGTGATCAATATTTTTATATCATGCAAAATATGTTTAAAATAAAATGAACATTGTATTATAAGCTGGTAAATTCAGTCCATTACCATCAGCAAGAACTGAATCATGAAAACATTGATCTCCTCCAGTCCTTTTTCTTTTTCTCTAACCAGATGTCAGATTTTGATTGCTATGAAAAAGTGTGATCCTATAAAAGAAAGTTTCAGAGAGACAGTATGCTATTGTATTTTGTTTAAATTCATCTCAATATATTTAATGATTATAAACATTTAGCACATACTTTTGAATTTATAACCAAGAGAATCAAAATACCTTGTAATATAATTTGCTTAGCAAGTCCATGTGATTGAAAGTTATTCAGTGCACTGAGAGCATTCAAACTCAACTTGGTATAAAATCCTTTAGTATGTATTAAAATGGCTTTAAAATCTTTTCTCAAAAAGAATATCTTCCAGCTATTTAACTTCTTCTGAGAGCTAAGATAATTTTTGTGAGCTAAAGTGCTCCTACCCAATGCATTCAAAATAAACTAGAAATAATATTTAAATGCTTGTATGTGAGAAAGGAAACATTTCAGCCACAGAGCAGGAGTGCTTGTTTTGGTTTTTAAAAGAATATCACACTAAAATACTTTTCTCTGGGAACAAATATTTTGCCTGCATAAACACAATCAAATATGTGGTTTGTTGACAGAGAATTAACTATATACTACTGTGACATTGCTACTGTATAAAAATAATTAGTCCTGAAAGAAGAAAAACATTTTACACAATTATGTAAAGATAAATCCCTAGAAGGTAGCAAATTTAATATAACAAAAGCATTTTTAAGTTGTATAGGTGACTAATCAGTACAATATAAAATACTAGTATCGATATATTTTGCTATAAAATAATTTTTTTTCTTTCAAAATATTTAATCAGGAGGTTGATGTTCTAAAATATTCTGAATGCTTTCAATACTGACTTTTAAAACAGGTTTTACATGCAATGTTTACTGAATTCTAATTTGTTCTCTTTACAACATTAACATCTAGTTCATGAAGTAAAAATTTCTTTAACAGAACAAATTCAGGGGTGATTACAGAGGGAAAACTGGAATCAAAATAAATAACCTCTTTTCATCCGATGCAGAGGCACAATCTGTTGTGCATAAAATGTTTAATACCTTTGAAATTCAGGAAAGATTCAATTCAATCTTTTTTATCTCATTTGAGTCAAAAATGAAAGTAAACATACATTATGTAATCTGTTACTGTCAATCTGGTCAATCATTTTAGATTTGAAACATTTTAAATATATTAATATTTAGATAATTTTTTAAAAAATCTATTCTAAATTTTAAAGGCCCCCAAGTCCAAGTGACTAGGGGAAAAGAAGAATATTAGAACCTAATACAATGACCATTATATTTTATCAGATTTTAAAACAATCTAGACTCTGCTCTGACCATTACATAATACAAGTAAACAAAAAAAAAAAAAATCACTTGACCAAAAATTAAAGCCTGAAGCATGTCAGAAAGATAACTAGTAAATTAGTCCTTGGAGATGTAGTAATTTGAATTAAAAGCAAGAGTAGCATGGGCAAACATAATACATTGCCAGAGATACTTGCAAACAATTTTATGTGGACCATAAAAATGCCACTTCAACACATTATAATGAATGAGATTTTGTGTAGCCAGTTAAGAAGATGGGCTAGAGATAAAGATAAATAATTAATTAGAATATTAGCAAATGTGGTTCAGCAAATAGCTAAAAAATACAGGGACAATTTTCATAAACTCTGCAATCTAACTCTACCATCTAGTCAATCTAAAGAATAAAGTTGAGAAAACACTGGAAGCTTGCAACAACACCTAATACATCCAAATCTTGGAGTTTATAAACAGAATTTTATGTTTAGAAATCTAATACTCTATACTCAGTTTAAAAGACTCTAAGGAAAAAATGTTTTGGTTAGCAGTTGTATAAGATCTAGCTTACAGATTTTTTTTTTTTAAGGAGGTTTTGACATTTACTAACTGCTTGAGTGAAACAGATTCCATTATGAGAATTTCTAAAAATAACCATTGTTCTTCATATTCACATCACTCAGAAGTCTGAGTAGTGAATGTAAGACCACATTCACTGGCATACCCAGAATGCACTGTAAGGGAAGGAGAGTCGTGAACTTACTTCCCGTGCTCCAGGCTTTTTCTGGGGATACCCTGCCTCTGAAGGAATTTTACTGAATGGGTGAGAGAGAAGCAGCAGACACACCAGGTGAGAGAGTTCATATACAGCAATTGTTTTAGAATATTGCCAAAGCTTATGAAACTTCTCATGTGCTGAAGCCCCCCTGCTCATCCATCTAAGTAGTGCTGCGCTAAGAGTAAACAAAGGTCACTTGACCCACACTTTTCTACATTACTACACTGTCCCCAAGATCCAAGCCTTAATTAGTAGATTTTTCAAAGGATGCTTTATAGGGACTTTACCTTTTGAATTGAGAATGACATAAAAATAGTATTTCACTCTGCTACAGTAGAAGAGAGAACATTGATGTGTCTGGTTTTTATATAGTAGACAAATTCTAGAAAGTTTTGACTAAATCCACTATGCTATCCTAGAAGTGCGTATATATAGTACACCCCAAGAACTATTTAAGGAAGTCAGTGACACATATAAACTAATAAAGTAATTACTGGTCTATCTGTCCATGTGTTTGAATTTTTGGTGTATTGGATATTTTCAAAGTGGGAAATAACTGTGTTAACCTTTTGGAAGTGTAAATCAAAGTTTTACACGGTCTTTTCTTTTCATTCCATACCTAACAACCCATTGCTTTAAGAAGCATACCATAACACAAGGAGTGCTGGATTGGGAATCATAGACAAGTTTTTAATCCTCACTTTTCTGCTGTGACCCTGAGCAAGTCAACAAAACCCCCGGAGTCTCACTCAGCATGTTAATCTGTGAAAGGAAGGAGTTGGTTTAAAATTGTGTATGAAGTCCTGGCTCTAAAGTTACAACGTTTGTACTAAACTATATACAGAGAAAAATCAAAACCAGAACATTTTTAAAAACTTCAAGGCAACACCATTCTTGAGATTAGTGACCCTGTTAAGGGGAAATATTTATCTTTTAAAATTATTTCATGTAAGAAATTATAAATGAAAAATCTGTCTCCCTTATACTGTAAATTCTAATTCTACTTCTTAAATCCTAAGAAACCTAGATAGCTCAAAGCATCATTCTTTCTGATTTTTTCCTATTAAAGGTGGCTACACATGTAGACTTGAAAAAGATTACTTTTCAAATATCTTGAAAAAACAAAACCTTTCAACTCTCACAAGAGAGCAAAACTTAAGACTTGTGCACGCCTTCCAAACCCCAGTCAGGGGTACGTGTGTTGTACTTAATCCAGGCCAGGCCTTTGAAGCAGAAACTGACGTCTAATGTTGTTTCCATCTGGCATTCTGATGATAGAATTTGATCAGGTGTTGGGCCCAAATCACCAGGATCTGGCATCTACTTACTTGTAAGTAGAGATCAAGATGCTTGGATGCTGTCCATGGGCTCATCTTAAACAATAACCTACTCATCTTAAACGATAACCTTTAACCCCTGATTATTTCTTTCTTTACTTCCATGCTCTGATATTTCTACTCAACAATTTAGGCAACTGCTGTTCAATGACATGATATCATGGGAAGGAGAGAGAATACCAGGAATCTGATAGGATTTTGATATCTAAAATCAAACATTCTCAGCTTTCTCTGATTCTGTCCTAGGCTTGGACTGACAGACTGATATCCAATTTAAGACAACATTTTTTAATTTTGATGACACTTTGAAGCGTGTGCTCCTTATAGAGCACACAGTAAATAAAGGATCATAGACTAGTAATGGGAGTTGCTAATAAGAGGGAAGAAGAAAGGAAGGGAGTTAGGAAATGAAGAAAAGGAGAAAGAAAGGAAGGACAGAAAATAATGAAAAGGGATGAGGAAGGAAAACAAGGGAGAAAAAACAGGAAAACTAGAATTATAAGAAAAAAATGAAGATTTCTCATGACCTGTTGGGACAGGGACAGGGAAGTGTGGTAACTTACTGAAATACACATAAAAACTTCCGTGATTTGTGAACAAGAACGTCAAAGGAAGAATTATACTATCTGTTGAGCAGTTTTTGAATTGAATGAGGTATTTACTAAGTAAATGAGATAAATACCATGACAATTATGTGCAAATTTTAATGGGTAAGGCCTGAAATAACATACTGAAAGATAATTGGCATGAAATAACTTTAAACTTTACTTGTTCACATGGACACTCTGAATGCCACAACATTCATGATCATTCTTACAAAGGTGAATTGCTTTTGCAAAGGTTATAGGGACACAGAATTTCCTCATCTCTGGATTTAAAACAGATATTTTTACATGAAATCTCAGGTCACATGAGAAATGCATTGTGATTTATTTTTTCTGATAAATTATATGACTGGTTTGCCCTTTGTGTGGGAAAATTGCAAGCTCTGTTGTCTCTGTCACATCTGGGTGGGCACTCATGATTCACAATTCACTTTACAGGGCTCACAGGAAAAAATTATTACTTCATCTGTATCATGTGAGTATTTATATTCCCCGTGCTCCAAGGACTCTAAAGCTGCAGTAAACTGAAGAGATACTGGAGGTTGCAGAGTTCACTTGAACAATCCAATCTTTTCTCTGCATCTGAGATAATTCCAGGAATTTGGGTTAGAACTAGAAGAAGTTTTCAGTAATTACAGAGGTTGACCTCTCATTTTTTACAAAGTATCTATAGCCCTTAACTATTAAACATTTGCCTGAGAACCACACAGGCACTGGAGTGCGAGAGTCTACATGAAAACACAGGGCAAATGATTTTTAGTCTAATATTCTTTTCACCTCTGTAATAACATTCCCTGTGTGTTCCGCAAAGTCCTCGGCTGGACACCAAATCTCCACTACTGATTTGACCAGAACAGCCCTGTTTTGATAAAACCCTGTTTTATGTCACGATATTGTGAGGTAATTTTTTTAAAGCCATTTGCTAATTCCTT